GTCCCGCCGGGCTTGCCGCCCCGCCCCAGCCCTGGACCCGCCACGCGGCGCGGCGGCGGCGGGGGAGCGTGCGCGCCCAGCTCCAGGGACTTGTCCTGCCGCTGTCTCTTGCACTTGTACCTGCGATTCTGGAACCAGATTTTCACCTGCGTGGACGTGAGCTTCAGGCTGCTGGCGAGGTGCTCGCGCTCGGGCGCCGACAGGTACCGCTGCTGCTTGAACCTGCGTTCCAGCTCGAATACCTGCGCCTGCGAGAAGAGGACGCGGGGCTTCCGGCGGCTGCGCGGCTTCGGCCTCTCGCTCTCCTCCGCCTTACAGTCTCCCGAGGCCTCCAGAGGCTTCTTCAGCTGGCAGTTTTCTGCGGAAGAAGCACAACAGCGTCCCTTAGCTCTTCTCAGCCTCACCCAGGCTCCTGTCCCGGGGCGCCCTGGCCCTTTTGGGTGGCAGCACGATACATCTGGTAATCAATGCCTAGGCTTTGAGGGAGTTTGTGATCCCTGACCCCATGTGACCCTGAGACAACCCTAGTACCCAAAGAACTCCCCCAGGGGGCAGAGACTCGTTCTGTGGGGAGGAGTAGTTAGTGCGCATTTATTTAGAACTTGAGCATCTGCGAGAGAAGAGATTACCCTGTATTACATGGGTGGCTCAACGTCCTAATGACTATTTTCAGGATGCAAGCTTGCAACTACATAATAACAGCAGTATCTGCAAACTCCTTCTCCTTCCACTCCACGACAGGTAGCTGAAGGAGTGAGGTGAGTGGCGACTGGGGCCTGTTGAGCTCAATCTTTCTGTATGGAAGTGTCTGAGTATAACGCTGTGCACTCCCCAGGACTGTTTCTTCTTTATAAAACACTACATGCAAACGTGTGTAGTGTTGTAGAGAGAAAGAGAAGTTTGACTGCTTTTAGACAGTTTCTTGTTGATTTCATGCCCCACGAACTGTCATAATACAGGTCGTGGCCTCCGCCACAGCAAACCTCTTGGAAAATATTCTTTGACTCTGTCCCCTAAGACATGCTTCCTTAGGGGTTGTTTTCAGTTCTTCGATTTCCCTACCCAATTCACCTCCCATCCAATGGGCTCCACCAGGATCTTGGACTAAGCGGAGTGTTTTCCATTGGATCCTCACCCTGGGACACAAAGCAAAACGGCATCAAATTTTCAAAACAGGCCGGCATCTCAAGAGATGGGAGAGCTATGGCCTGTGTTTCCATGCGCTGATTTGAGGACTCTGAGCTCCAAGCAGAGAAGTGAGGAAGGAAACCACCCAGTTGGTCTCTCCAGAGTTCCTGCACCCTGCTGATGATAAAGACACAACCTTTGGGACTGCCTTTTGGGAGAAAAGAGGGTGGCTATGCTGGCCTCAAAGAACTCCTCTCAAGCTAGAGGGAAAGATAAAGGTTTTGTTTCCTGCCCTTTTTTGGGGGAAGAGCAAAAATGCTTGGAGTTGTTAAGACCCAGCCGCTGGGCCGTGTTGCTCCTTAGCATCAGGGCACCAAAAACCACTTTCCCTTTCCTCCCAGACTGCAACGTCTCCCCAGCTCCCGCCTTTGGGGGGAGGTAGTTGTCAGGGTGACCTATTCCTTTTCTCTCCACCCAGGCACCCTGCAGGTACCTGTGCTTTGCGGAGCTGTCGCTGATACTTTGGTGGAGACATGACTCCAGCCAAGGGTAAAGGGGCGGCCGCGATAGCAATGTTTGTGGGCTGTTTGCGGACTCTGCACCATTGCTCCAGGCGTGCGGATGCGTTTCCTTTCCCCCGCTACTCACTTTGGCTCTGGTCCCTCACGACCTCAGGATCCTCTTCATGTTCCTTGGGCCCGCCGCACGAGTCTCGCAGGACCGTGTGGACATAGCTCTGAGGACAGAGCCCTGAATCCCCGTGGCCATCGGCTGTGGCTAGTGAGTTCAAATAGGACAATTTCTCGCCTTCTTCTTCCTCGTCCTCCTCTCCTCCGTCAGAAAATTGGGCCCCCTCTGCGGCGGCGAGCATGCAGGGCGCCGAGTGGAAGCGGTGCTCCAAGTCCGCCTGCAAGTGCAAGCCGTGGAAGTGCTGCTGCTGCTCCAGGTTCAGAATGTCTTTGACTGGTCGGCTGTGGCTAGTGAGTTCAAATAGGACAATTTCTCGCCTTCTTCTTCCTCGTCCTCCTCTCCTCCGTCAGAAAATTGGGCCCCCTCTGCGGCGGCGAGCATGCAGGGCGCCGAGTGGAAGCGGTGCTCCAAGTCCGCCTGCAAGTGCAAGCCGTGGAAGTGCTGCTGCTGCTCCAGGTTCAGAATGTCTTTGACTGAGAAAGGGGTGGAGGTGACCGGGCTTGGTAACATCATCAGGGCCACTTAATTGTCCAGTCCAAATACTCAATAAATCCCGGCGGGGGCGGGGAGGGAGCGCAGCGGCCTCAGCTCTCCTTCTGGACTCTGCCGCCGTTGCCGAGTGGGGCTTTGACAGACGCAGACCCGCTACAGTCTAAATCGCCTCCATTGGCCGGGACCTGGGGGTCTGGGTTTTGTTACAGCCACTGCAGGGACTGGGGCCGGAGCTGCGAAGCCTCTGTCCGGGGCCCTTGCGTCACCTCGAAGGGCGGGGCCCGCGCCCCGGTCTCCCTCCCTATTGGTTCCTGCACACAGGGACCACGCCTCCCGCTTACTCCGAGTGGGTAGTGGCAGCGCTACCAGAAATAGAGAGGGACTAGTATAGAGTCGTGAAGTCCATGTCGCTGCGGGCGAAGCTGCAATGACCTGGGATCTAAACCACCGATTCCTGCCCCGCCTGGCTGCGTTCTCCCGGCCTGGGCCAGTTGTGGGAGGCTCACTGCTCACCAACCTACGTCTGGGAAGGATGCTCCAAAGAGTGTGGGTCTTTCCAGCTGCTGCGGGGGCGGGCAGGAAAACTTCCTGGCGGGTAAATACCGGGCTTTGGAGCCACAAGACACGGGGTGTTTTATCTACTTCTGGATGGGCGACGAGTCCGTTTCTCCCTTGCTGCTTTTGCTCCAGCTGTCTGCACACCTGGAACGTCTTTCCCGCTCTTGTCGCTACGAGTTGAAAATTTTTGTCCAAGGTTCTGCTCAAATACCACCTCCTCCAAGGAAACTCTCCCTGATCGCCTAGCCGGAAGTCTCTCCGGCCTGAGAACTTGTAGCTCCTGTTAGCAAAGGACATTAGTGCCACGTGTCACTTCCCACTTCATTCTGTAGCTGCATGTGCCTGCCTGGTCGCCGCTTAGACTGTGAGCCTCCTGAGGACAGGGTCCCTGTTACACGTACTCTTGTAGTGATTGCAGCGGCTGCGCAGAGCAGGTATGTGAAAAACAGGACGATGCAGTTTTGATTAAATGTTGGTGTCCGACATTTGGTTCAAATCTTGGCCTACTCAGAAATGCCCTACTTGGGCATTTCTGAGGCTCAGTTTCCTCGAGATGACCTTTCTTCCTTGCCCAGTTTCCACCCGGGACAGTAATACCTCCTTAAAGTTGTTGCTAGGGTTGCGTGAGGCAAAACATGGCGGAGCTCAGGGCAGGCCCCTGTGCGTGGGGAGTGTTCAGTACTGGTCAGGGCCGCACTTCTGCATCGCGTCTAGCAGTGTTTGTTGACTGCACTGGTAGTGACCCGGCTGGAGGGCTGCACACACTGGCTTCATATATGGTTTTTCCAACCCCCACTTTGGAATCGTGACCCTTTCTAGGCCTTCACTCTGAGATGCATTTTTCTAATTTCTTTACCCACACGCCTTTTGGCACTCTCTTAAGGCGTTAGTTGTTTTCTGGGGGGAATCTATGGGGTCCTCGAGGATTCTGGAAACTCCTCCCTGGCAGGAACGGACTCTTTCCGCACAGTAGGCATTCGCAGGCCACCTGACCCAGCCAGGGGAGGAGAGCTGCTGTGAGGCTCACAGAAAGACCCGTGCGCATCGCTGGCCTTGAAAAAAAAATAATACTGACCGGTTCCAACTATGGCGCCCTTCTACCGGCCCCAACCGCCCTAAGCATCTCTTGGCCGCCAGGACGGAAAAGCTAGGAGAGACCGGCTCCGTCTGGAAAGGGCGGATGGAAGGTGCCCAGACTGTGGACAACGCCCCCGGGCGGCTGCAGCCATCAGGTGGGAGTGGGGACAGCGGGCAGATCTGCCAAGCGGGGCCCTATGGCTACCAGAGTAGTGGGTGCCCAGGGCCGGGCGGGAGGGGAGAGGCGGGACTCTGGAGGGAGCGGAAATGTTGCGGGAGGCAGCCCGGGGGCAGCCTGCAGATGGGTGAAGCCGCGCGAGCCACGTGCGCCAGTGGGTATTCAGGGTCGCCAGGGCTGGCGGGCGGCAGGGAGAGACCCTCTGTGGGCAGAGCCAGGCGCCCGGACTACCACCCCTCTCAGCCACAGGGGCGCCTGGTGCCTTTCTGCTTTAAATCCTGCAACTACGGACGCCTCAGGCGGAGGCTGCGGTCTCCAAACCAGGCCGGGAATCTGCGGAGAGAAGAATGCGTCAGTTTTGCCTGGGATTCCAAGCGCTTGGGCGCAGAGATCCCGAGCGAGGTGGGGGTGAGTGCACGGGCTTGCGGGGTGGGAGACTTGGAGTGGTCCAGTCTCACTCTCCCAGCTCCACTCCAGGGTAAAACCGTTGCGGTGAAATGCTTCTGTTCCCTTCTGGTCCTCAATTTTGTTCGCCTCTGGAGTGGCTTGAAGATTGGGGGGAAAAGGAAAAGACAACCTTGGCCACGTTGTCTGCCTCTCCCCCGCCTCCACCCGAAGCCTGCCCTTCTCCCGCTGCATTCCCTCCGGCGCTTCGACCCTAGGCCTCACCTGAACCTAGCCTGGGAACCCGGGCCTTACAACTGCGAGGGGGACAAAGCGTCCCTCCTGGACCCAGAAAACGGAGACACACCCACACACCCGTTGTCACCGCCAGAGCCCACCAGGTCGCCCTCGCTCTGCCCACGAAGAAACCCGTGTCCCCCACCACCACCCTCAGGCCCTTGCGTTCCTCCCCCAAACTCCTCTGCGGCCACTACCGGCCAGGTACCATTGGGCCAGGCCTAAACAGCTCTCTCCTCTGCCGGCTGCACCCAGATGCAGCCTACACACCCCCTCCTTCCGTTGGTTCAGGCCCCCGGGGCTAGAGGCCAGGGAATACTCTGAGTCTGGGAAACCCAGGCAAGGGAGCCTACGCGGGCGGTTTTGTGCCCTAGGCGTCCCTGCTCTCCCAGTCTCCAGCGCTGCGCAGGCTGGTCCCGCGTCCCTAGAGCTCATCTCTGTTCTCTGCCCACAGCAGGGCTCGGGTACTCTCCAGCTGCACTTCCAGGCTGTAGCGCGCTCCCTTCACCGCAGTCTCAACTCCGACCACCGCGGGCCTGCGCGCTGCCAGCTGCGCGCCGCTGGCGGCAGGAAAACTCTCCAGAGCTGTCGTTCTCCGGCAGCAGTGGCTTCGCGGGAGTCACTTATCAGAGTGTGGGATCTGGCTCTGGTGCGTATCCAGTTACTAACGCGTTCTGGGGCATTTGCATTCTCTTGTCTGTAAAAGGGATCTTTGAAATCCTTGGGCTGTGCTCGACTAATAATAGGTTTTCGTTCCAGACAGTTTAGCTAATTACTGTCAGATAAAGTAAATAACAGTTGCATCCATAAAAGCGTTTGATTTTTATTTTAATTGAGTGTATCTGCTTTGGGACGCTCTCCTCGCATTTACAACCCACCCCATCGGACATTGGATTCAAGATCTTTCTTAAATGGTTGCACACTCTCTAACGGGGAAGCGCTATGTAGATGCATAAAGGGTAAATAAAATGGTACCTTTTTAGGGGAAAAACGCATGCTCTCTATTAAAAATAAGTGTATTATCAAACAAGAATATGACGATTGTTTGAAAACTGTAAAGTGTTCCCTTGTTATCCGGTACACAGACATTGTTTAAATGATGCGCGGATAGGCAGGTAATAGATCATTTTAGTTACATATGCCACTGCTTATCATGTTGCCTCCCAGCTATTCAAATAATCATTCTGATTATGTAATCAAGGCTGCAAAAAAGTTGAAAGTTACTGTGGTTTCTTAATCTAAATGTACTCCCACAATCAGAAGTGATTTTCTATTAAAGCTTAAAAAAAAAAATCACCCTCTGATGAACTCAGATAACCAAAACCACATAACTTACCAGGTGAACTTTTCTTCGTCACCTGCTGCTCTGCTAGAAATTTCATTTTCAATGACATCTTATAAAAGAAAGGGAAAGGTCTCTTCCTTTTGAGCGGCAGTAAATGAGTTTTTAGTTTGTCGGTTTTGTTTTGTTTTTAGATGAAAGATTTTAGAAACCTATGTAAAATTTTAGAGCATTCTACAAAGAACACATTCTAATTTGAGACGGGTGAATATATTTTCTACTTTTAAGGAAACATCATCTGAATTGGTTCAGCCTAGAAAGCATTAAACTGATCTGACTTTTTGAAAGTATTTTTTTCCTTGAACTAATTTTGTGAGATTTTTAAATGCTTTTTTGAGCATTTAGCTTGTTCCGCATGTGTTTGCATCAATGCCAGATAGTCTTAGATTTTGTTTGGAATTTAGTTTTCTAAGCGATTCACAATTTGTCTTCCTTGGGAGAAAACCTACCTAAATTCCACAATTTCTGTAGTTCTTTGTGTTTTACAAGCACTTGCTGGGAAAGTGAGTTTCGATTTCTCAGCTAGAGGACTTACCACGACTATGGGTATCTTCCCCACGCTGAAACATTTAAAAATAAAAATGTAAATTAAATTTTCATGACCAGAATCAGTTCTAGTCTATCACTAAAACATGCACAGTAGAAAGATGAACTGTACCTGTGCTAAACGAAAACCAATTCAATGTTTTTATCAAACAAAACGTCTGAATAAAGAAGCCTTTATACATTTATTTGTATTAATCGACGTGGTATTTGGGAGCGCAGAGAGCAATTTTACCTTGGGGATTAAATTGGAATTCTGAACGCATTCCGTAACTTTTTTGTTGTTGTTTCACTATGAGTTTAACTTCCTGCAGCAAAATTTCAATGCCTATAGACCCTTAAAAACATAATCTGACTTCAGAAGAGCGGCAGCCTGCCCAGTGTGGATCCTGGAGTGAGGGGAAGAGAGAAATGTGATCGCGTTCCAAGAAGCAGATTCTTCTGTCTGTTGTAGCGAAGTCTTTCTTCACGCTGTCTGCTTTCAACTGCTAGCTGGCTTCCTGGGACCTCTGTCTCTTCCGACGAAGGAATCTCTCCTCCAATCTTCCTGAGTGTTACGTTGGAGCAGATATCTTCAAATAGTTTAAGAACAAAAAGATCGTTTTCACCAGGGAAAGAAAGGTCTGCGTAGTCTTGGTCTGCGTAGTTTTATTCGCCCCTCGCTAGCCCAGCCTGGAGTTGGTCCGCGTCCGGCGTGCGGTTCGGTTCCTACCGCTCGGCGAGACCTTTGCTCCGTCTGCGGGTCTGGGCGTCTGTGGGTCTGTCGGCCCAGCAGCGCGCTTGCTCAGGGCTCCTGAAGCACCAAGTGAACACTCAGC